CAGCCTCTACCAACCAGCCTGTAGTACACCTCTACCCCGATATAACCTGACCCGATATAACACAGTAAAGCAGCGCTCCGGGGGGCCAGGGCTGCACACTCCAGTGGATGAAAGCAAGTTCGAAATAACGCGGTTTCACCTATAACACGGTAAGATTTTTTGGTTCCCAAGGACAGCGTTATATCGGGATAGAGGTGTACACAGGAATTCATTGGTTTTACAGCAGATGAAAGGAGAACTGTAATCTGCCGATATACTGTTCCCTACAGTCAGTGGTTTTGATAACTGCCAGTTCTAACATAAGAATGGCCTTACTGGGTCAGACCAAAGGTCCATCCAGCCCATTATGCTGTCTGCCAGGTGCCCCAGAGGGAGTGAACCTAATAGGTAATCAAATGATCTCTCTCCTGCCAGCCATCTCCACCCTCTGACAAACAGAGGCTAGGGACACCATTCCTTACCCATCCTGGCTAATAGCCATTAATAGACAACCTCCATGAATTTATCTAGTTCTCTTTTAAACCATGTTATATAGTCCTAGCCTTCGCATTTCTAATGCATTGAAAGCTGATGCCTCAATATCTTTTTCTGGCTCCCCCTAAATTCTCTAGAATACTATATAGTCTCTGCAGTATATTCTCATGTGCCTTGACCAGGTCAGTTTCAAATTATTTTCACCACTTACTGTGGGCTCATATTCCACAAAATAATACTAGAACATTTTTGCTCATGATGATTAAATGGAATACAAATTCGTGCAAGAATCACACAATTAAAACTATGTATCAAATCATGAACCAACTATAAGCAAGAGAGACTGAGTGCAAATTAAGAAGAGTAACTGTACTCAGTGATTTACTTCGATGTTCAGTAGACTACCAAAGGAAGTAGATGAAACTACTAGTCACTAAAGTATTTAAAACTGGATTAAATTCATATATGGGATTTACAACAATCTTGGGTACAGCTGCCAAAGACTGGTTGATCCCCTAACAAAATGGAGTGGGGATGGACTAAAGTGATCAGTTGTTCTTCCTTCCTAATTTTCTGCGTTCCTAGCATAGTTATTCTTAGCAGTGAAACAGTTCAGCTCTGCATAAAGGTTGTCTTGTAGGGCTGCCAAGGTCAGTAACACCCAAGGTAATATGCCACATCTGTGCCAGTTGTGCAAATTAAAGTGACTTGGGCAGCTTGAAATCAGTGAAAATATTTCATTAAATAATTTAAAAAAGATTCTTGCTAACAGATAGGAAGCCCAGTTCTATTTATTAAGTGCACCAGCAAATATTTACCTATAAATCTGTTTTTATCATTGTCCGGTAAAAAATGCTTATGAAGTAAAAACAATCACATGCATAAAATGAGGGAAAGCAATCCTGAGGACACAGTGCATCCTAATTGAAACAAGTACCATTAAAAAAAAAAAGCTGGCCAAATTCTACTCTTAGCTACACTAGCGTAAATTCTGTTGAGCAGAATTGGGCCAAGAATATATAGTACTTGTCTAAGGATCATTTTTTTAAGAGCAGCTTTTATTGTTTACATTTTATAGTCAGATTTTTAATTCTCTTTATTTGTACATTTGGCTCATTGTTCAGATAAATCTGTTGACAATATGGAAAATATTTAAGAGTGTTCTCTCCTCTCAAAGAAGGTTGGCGGGTAATCTCAGGCAAATTTTTTTTGTCTATCTAAGAAGCACAGTGAATTAATTACTAGGACAACAATTAAATAAGAACAAATGAGAAGCTTATGGTGTTTCCCATTATGGTGACATGTCAGAAAATGTACAAACTAAAAAAAAATAAAATTTGAAAATATGAAACTGTATTTAAATAAATATTCTGTTGTTTTACAGAGATATTTCAGCCATAAAAATACATAAGCGAGAGAGTTATCCATACGTTCCCCCCAAATTAACATGAGAAAAATCAGATTCCCCTTTCCCTGACATAAAGCTACTTATTTCTCTAGAAAACATATCCTCTAGGGGGCAGCATTAAACAACCATTCAGTTGCCATGCAATCTACCAAAAGATGGGTACTACTTTATACCTCTAGTTTTGTTTATTGAATTTTCATGCCAAAAGGATGCATAATTATACATTAGGAAAGGTTATTTATAGCAGAGGCTGGCTGTTTGTCATGGCAATAAATCTGGAAGTGTCATAGCGTAACAATACTTTAAGTTGTTTGCCATAGGAAGTGATGAGAATATTTAAATAAATACTATTTATTTTATTGTGAATTGCATAACACAATTTAGTAGTGTTTAGCTAATAGTTGAAAACTCAAACTCCACTACATGGTATGTAGAGAACACCAAAGTCCTGATCCTGCAATTGGATCCTTGTGGGTGGAAGAGTCTGCCTGCACAGGTCTGACTGCAGGATTGGGGCCAAAATTTGTAAAAAATCATGAAGGATCCTTGCTCCATTGTGGACTGATACCAGTTTTACACTATCTAGGAATTTGATCCTGTGACTAAATAAAACAAAAACATAAACAAGAAAACAAACGAACAAAAAAAGCAACCCTAAGAACAGGGTTTCTGTCATGGAAGTCTTGGCCATAACAAACATACAACCTTTTTATAGTAGATAACCATGGTAATATATCTGACAGGCATAAAAAATATGGAATATGCTTAATAGATATTTTTGACATGGGTAGATTCCATCCTTTTCAGTTTTAGCATTAAAAAGAATGACCAGTTCAAAAAGCACATATCAATGATTTGTTTAGTTAAAGACCATCAGACACCAAACATATGAAACTATAAAACTGAAAAGCTGACTAAGAAACATTTTATCCTTTGGTTTTCTAGAAAACACACAAGAAATATTTCAGCTTTAGCATTAGGAGAAAACATTCATAGATAGAGGTTTTAAATATACAGGAGAAATAAGTTCATCATCATTATCTATACAGAAAATGTCAGCAATCTGTGAAAGAAAAAGTATGTGGCAACATCTTGATTTCTTAATCTAACTACCAAAAATAACTATCAAGGCTTGGAAAGAAATATTTTCAGTTTGGAGTCAGTTTGGGTTTTCTCCCAATCTCTTTCCTAACTAGGAGAAACATTCCTTGATTAACCTCTAAGTATGTAATTGCATCAACTGCAAACTACAGTTCCCCCCACAAGGGCAGGCTTAAATCATCAGGTTGTTTAAAATGCTGGCAGTGAGTCTACCTCAGGCTCCCAATGTCTATATGCTGGTGGCACTGAATTGAAGCTTGCAATGATGTGAAATATTTGGAAAATAGTCAAGGCCAGAGGATATCTTCCCACTGGGAATTACAGGAAGATTTCCCACTACTACTATAGGATTGGTGCAATCACACTGTTGCTTGCATCGACTGTGCTACACGTATGCTAGACCAACAACGAAAGATTTCCCTAAAATTCTGCATAGACTAGGCCAGACAGGGCAACTGTACTGGAACTGTTACCAAGAATCGGGCATTTAACATGACTGAAATGACAGGGTGCAGCATACGGCCAGGACTGCCCTGAACAACAGTGAATGAAATAAACCACTCTAGCTTTAGGGCTTGTTTACATTGGCTTGGCAAAATGCACTGGAGGAGTAGTGATTTGTAAAGCACTCCAGTATGCTGAACTCTAAATGCCCCATGTAGATCCTGTTGGCGTGCTCTAAAAGATATCTAAGTTCGTGTTAACATAGTCAAAACAGGACTATGTTAACACGAACTAGGGAACTGAATGTGTACTGCCCTTTGTGCCTTTCAGAATCTCCCTTTAAAGTGATAGCTAACCTCATGAATTAGAAATAATTAAAATGACCTATTTCTTGACCTATTAGTTTATCTGATTTTTAATCAATATAATTATAGAGAAAAGTAAAAAATACAATATACACCTTTATAGTCTTTAAACAAAAAAAGACAAGTAATACAAAATCAGAGTGGCTGACAAATATAAGAAATAAAGTTAACTGCATATTCCTGTGAATCTTTTATGTAGTCCACATCTTCTATCATGATGAGCTGTATGTCCATTTCAAACATTAATCAGTGTACAGGAAATGCTCTCTGTTGTCTAGGAGGCTTTCCTAAATAAATCCAGTAGAAATAATGCACCAAGGCATGGATGATAATTCATAGGCATCATTCTGAAAATTTCTACTATCTGTCTGGAGACATTAATGGAGAGCAGCATACAGTACTGAGCACATTACCCTTGTTCATATTACTAGAGCTGGAATTAACTCTGCACTAGGTTAACTTGTACAAGCAAAGCTCAGCAATTCTTGCCTTTATCCCAGTATCCTCACTTCATCACAAGCCTGCATGTGCCCAGTAGACTCAATGGAATAATGATCTAAACACAAGGCTTGGATCAACACAATAAGCACAACAGGCACAAAATTTTGATGTTTCCTCTCTCATTGTTCTTTAGTTACATTATGCTACTAAAGAAGTGCATTGGGAGGAGCACAGAGGTCAAAGGATTGCAATGCTTTGCCATGCAACTTTTTCCTTTTAGAGCCAACTCTCTTCAGTCAGTTCTAGAGCTCCTTCCAAGATGGGAACGCCATCCCTTCCCCCGTGGGTGGCACGCTGCTACTCCGCTCTATATGGCTAGGCATGCAGTTGCAGCTCCTATCCAAGACCAGTGTACTTGATGACTATGCAATCACTCTAGGTTTCTCCAATCTGCCTGGCTACCTTACTGCTCCTGTTCCCTCACCTACTAGTACATCACCTACAAAATCAGCATGTCCTAAATGCCTGGGACTTGAGCTTTTGGTTAATTAGGCTTTACCTGATGACCTGTTTACCGGTACGTCCAAGTTTTGTCTGTCCACTTTTCAATGTCATTGGCATCTAGTGTTAAGCCCTCTCCCCATCCTACAAAGAGAAGCCATTAGGCTTTCTGGATGTTCATTTCTTCAAGAATGGAATGGAACTGGTCAAGCTAATTTGCAGAATGAGATTTCTGTGTCACTGTCATCTCAGGTCACCCAGTATTTTTGAGTGGGTAAGTGGTCTAGACTGAGCCAGAGTTCAAACTCACTTACAGCAAAGAAAGAGAGAGACAGGGAGAAGGAGGTGGAGGAAAAGTCTGAGTCTGCGGATCAAATTGTATAATGTTCACAAAACAAGCCCCACCAACCAAGGGAATTGAATACCATATTTCATACTGTGACCTCTTCCAAGTTTTGGGATCCCCCCAGTGTAAGTGCTCTCTTGCTTTAGAAAAGATTAGCAGAGTTCTCACTATGCGCCAAGCCTAAGATAGCAATTTTTTTTAAAAGTGTGTTTGGCAGATGAGGTTCTCTGGATTCTGCAGTAACAAAGACGGAATCCCCAGCAAGACTCTTGCAACTCTTCAGCCACACACTCCAGAAGGTTAAAAGTACGTTTCTTCCCGAGATACAAGTTTTGTCATTAATAGTTGAAGCGTGCACAGATGGCCGAGTTCATCATATTGAGCCAAAACTTTACTATTTCCATCAGGGTGGGAGCATGTAGCAGCGAATGGGGTTGGCTTTGTTTTCTGTGCCAGCTGAAAGTCCTTTCACTCAGCCAGATGACAAATTAGTTTCTTTCATTTCTAGGGCTGCATTCTTCTTTTCTTTTTTGCTTTCAGCCATGTTTTTTCACCCTTTTAGTGAGTGTGCAACAGAAATGCAGAGTTGAAAGCCAAATTTAGAAGAGGGATCTTTCTCCTCCATGCTCTAAGGCACACTAGGCAACAAATTGTCTCAGTACTGTTAGTCCACACAGTAGCATTAGCAGCAAATACGATTATTCCCATCCACTGCAGCTTGTTTGTATATAAACTCCCAATAGTTCCATGCATGTCCTATGGGCTTGGGAAACTTTATAACATTTTAAAAGTCCTTAAATGACAGCATCCAGTATAAAAAAGTTCAATATATTACTGTTGATATTTTTTTACAAAAATTAAAAGATCAAAATATGTCACATTATTTACATACTTTATGCTTCATGGTTAGAGATCACTGAAAAAAAGCACACAGACAATGTTTTAATCACAAAGACAGGAATGTTTCTTTACACTCATTCACTGCAAAGTAGTTAATTATTGTTAATGCTGTAAGAATTGACTCCTTTTGACTTTTTAATATTAAACAACTAAATGAATCAACATAGAATTAAATATGTTCCTTTAAGGCCCTGCCCACATTCTGAGTTTGTAACCAGCTAGTGATGTGGTCGACTCTGAACTTGATTTATATCCCCATATCACATGGTTAAAATCTGATTAGTAACTGTCAGCTACCAATGTCCCAGCAGTGCCAGAGTGTTAGTCTGGCATATGCTTCTCTGCCTGTAACTAGTTTACAGTACTGTCCTTTAATGGTACGGAGAAAATGCCATAACCATATGCAGGCAATTGGTTTGGGCAGTCCTCCTTCCTAGTTGTCTGTGCACTAGGTATCCCACAATGCACTGTCCTGTGTGCATGTCATTTAGGTGCTTTATCCCCACTACTGAGGCACTATGGAATAGCTGCCCAGATTTTCCTAGAATGCACTGATACAAACACTTTCAGGCAGTGTGGTAGGTGTGGACACATTATTGTGATGGCAGAAATATTTCTGTATCGGGGTGCTGGAAGTAGAGGTGTTGGGGGTGCAGCAGCACCCCATGGCTTGAAGTTGTAATAATCAAATACATGATTTCTGTTTTCAGCACCAACACGATAAAAATTGTTCCAGCACCCCTATCCTGCATGGAACCGAATGATTTGTAACTTGGTTAAAGAGACCAACACTCTATCTGGTTTCAAAATCATGGCTAAAAGCTAGAGTATGGGCAGGGCTTAACAGAGAACTGTAAAGCTAGAATGGACATTAAGTTAAACCCAGATTTCTGAGCCAACCACCATCACTAATCAGGTGGCAGGGGACATTCAGCACAGGAACGAGCTTCCACCTTTCCCGATTCATTAAAGTTATCCCTGACAGTAATTTCACATGCACTATGGCATCCTTGAAAACCATGGTATCTGGGCTGTCATAAAATGATACACTCTCCAAAATTGCTATATTCTCAAATACTTTGTGGTTCGTTGATGGCATCAAGAAGATTTTACATTGGGAACAAATAATTTTAATATATTTATTTGAAACTTATTGCTGAGGAAGCATTTGGCACAATCCCCATTCTGAACTGCCTGGTTAGAGTGGGGAATATTTATCTCAAAAATCTGGGCTTAACTTAGTTTTCATTTGAGCGCAACAACTTCAACATTTAATTTTTTTTCCCATATCATTACATTTCCTAAATGGACTATATATACATGTTATACACATACCCCTACACTCTCTGGGCAAGATTAGCTGTTTGGCAGGTGCAAATATTTGTCAGTGTAATGTAGGCCACTTGGATGCATAAACATCTAAGGGCTGGTCCACACTAACCCCCCAGTTCGAACTAAGATACACAACTTCAGCTATGTGAATAACGTAGCTGAAGTTGAAGTATCTTAGTTCAAACTACAAGGTACTTACCACGGGTCCACACGCGGCAGGCAGGCTCCCCCGTCAACTCCGCGTACTCCTCTCGCGGAGCAGGAGTACCGGTGTCGATGGCGAGCACTTCCGGGATTGATTTATCGCGTCTAGACAAGACGCGATAAATCGATCCCAGAAGATCGATTGCTTACCGCCGAACCCGGAGGTAAGTATAGACGTACCCTAAGTGTGCCTACAAACCAGATACAAAGAGCTCTAAGTGACCCAGGGCTCAAACTTGCAAATTTTTGTACACTGAGTAGCTTTCTTTACATGAATGATCCCACTCCCCTAAATGTGAGCTACCCATATTAATCAAGTTACTAAACTAACTAACTATGCACATGACTGGGTCCCTAAACTGGAAGTGCAAAAATGGAGCCCTGGTAAAGCCAGGCCTGAAAAAAACTGGCTCTTTATGGACAAGGTTTATGAGTAAGGTATTCAGCAATTGTCAGCTGTGGCGTATCTTGCCCTTCCTCTGTAGCATCTGGTTCTACTATTGTAACAGGCAGGGATACATAAGTTCTGCTCTGATCTGGTAGGGCAATTTCTACGTCAGGTACCTTCTCCATTGCACCGTTTAAGTGAAGCTCAGAAATACAAAGAAAAACTCAAAATGCAACCAAATTCAAACCACTGACAAAGCAGGGAGGTTCACTGTACCTTGTGCCAACATCCCGGTACTGGCAGTCCATCTGGTCCCTGAAAAAATTAATTCACAGGTGTCATTTCTGCTGGAAGTTACCTAAGTGTCATGTTGAAAAAAACTCAGGCCATTCATCATGATGGTGTAAGATTCAGCAGAACAACCAACAAAGACTGACTAATTATCATGCAAAACCATATATTTGTATATAAACAAAAATACATATGCAAGAGAAACAATCAGTGTATCAGGAGTAATAAAAAAAATACTTGGAATCATAGTGAATTCATTTCACAATCTTATTTAAAAGGCTGTGGGGTTTATGCTGTCAGAAGCATGTATGAAGGGAATTCTGCAGGAACACACATCTTTTGGTGGTTTTCTTGTTTTAGTTTTTTTTAAATGACATCTCAGTTTCTTTTAGTCTGATCCTGCAACACTTAATCCCTTTGAGAAGTCCAGAGTCGTTCCACTGATTTCAATAAGAGTTCACTTAGATTGTAAATGCTCTGGGGCAGGGCCCATCCTTTTGTTCTGTTTTTGTACACCACCCAACACAATGGAGTCCTGGTCCATGACCAGGGCTTCTAGGCATTACAGTAATACAAATAATAATGACTCATGGACTAACAGACTACTCAGTGGGAGCACAGGTGTAAAGATTGGGCCTTTTATGCTTAGTTACTGACACACAGACGTATCAGAGTCCTGTGAAGATCAGAAAGCTGATAAAGTTTGGCTATAGTGAGGGGGAAAAAATTAACCGTGTGCATGTGACACATGAATTAATTAACCTATCCTTAGAAGGGAAAGGGGCTAGACATGAATATGAACCAACTCTCCAGTTCAAAGCCACATTGGAAGAAATAGCACATTAAGACACCAGTTTTTGGTGCTGGATTTTTAAAGAGCATGAGGCCCATCTGTGTGCATTTCTGCACATGTAATTACTGTGTGTGCATGTGAAAATTGGGTGTTCACACATAAGTCGGTAGAAAGGTAACTAATTAGGTATTGTGTGTGAAAATACCAGGTCTGTGTGCAAATATAAGTGAAAAATGCACATGGACCTTGGGCCGATCCTTTTAAAAAAACAGGCCCCTACTGTCCATCATTTCACAGCCTATTACTTATATTTTGCATTAACTTTCATAAGATAAGTTAACCTAACCTACATGAAGCCCAGTGTGACAGATGTGGCAGGGGAATGACACTCTCTCAACATTACTCATGTCATGATACTCAGGTCATGCTATAGTAACACATCGATAGTAACACATTTGAACACTGTATTTGCTAGAGGTAAATTCCTGCCCTCTGCTGCCGGGGTATAGTAGGATGGGAGGAGCTTGGAGGACTGGAGTAGGAATTCAGACACCCATCAGTCAAAGCCAACCCTGAGCTCACTCTGTCTTGTCCTGCACTTTCTGCTGGCAAGATGACTCAGGGTTCAAGTATGACCTATTCTTCTCCTTTGGCTCTTGCTAAGTAGAGTAAAGTCAGCATCTTGCCCCAGACCGAAACTTTTCATTAAAAATACACAACTCATATATTTACTTTGGCAATAATAATAATCACCTGCATTTATATAGTACCTTTCCCTCCAGAGGATCCCAAAGCACTTTAACTTAAAAACTAGTTTGCAAACACTACACAGGGAGCATGCTATCTACTCCCAGACTGAAACCTGTTCAGTAGCACACAGCAACATTATGCAGCAGGTTAGGAAGTGCAGGATGACAACTACTCAAATGCAGGAACTTGAAACAATCAGGTATAGGTTAATCCTCATGCATAGTAATTAGGAAATGAAAATACTGTATCAGCAAGTGTATATACTGTCTACATACAGAAGAAACCAGATTCCATATACAGTGAATGCCATTAAAATCTTGATATTTACCACATCTCGGTATTTACCTGTACTGAAGTATTCCCTGCAATTTGAATGGGAAATACTTTGGTAGATAAAACTACTCTGAGGAGCAAAGGTCAAGAGTTCACTGGCGTCTCCTGCATATATTTGGTTTCCTTGATCCATGTGGGAACAGAATGACTGTGTAATGCCCTTTGGTTGCTTGGAAGAAGAATATAGACCAGCTAAACATGCATATTTTTTTATGTTTCTCACAGCAAGCTCCTTCAGTTGGCCATGCAGAGTCACTTTCCACAGCACAGCCAAGCACACACCTTTTCACATAATCTTTGCACTTTAACCTGTTGACTTGACAGCTAATATGTGCGGGCAACTGGGTTCTGACACAGCAAATGCTCTTTCAATGCATGGCCTGTCAGTGTAGTCCTATGACCACCATTCCATAGAAGTACAAACTGGCTCTGAATCTTAGGGTAGGTCCACACTACCCGCCCGATTCGGCGGGTAGAGATTGATCTTCTGGGATCAATTTATCGCGTCTCATCTGAATGCGATAAATTGATCCCAGAAGCGCTCCCCCGTCGACTGCGGAACTCCTGCTCGCCAAGAGGAGGAAGCGCTGTCGATGGGGGAGCTTGCCTGCGCCGCGTGGACCCGCAGTAAGTAAACTTAGTTCAATCTAGGAAACGTCGACTTCAGCTACGCTATTCTCGTAGCTGAAGTTGCGTTTCCTAGATCGATCCCCCGCCCCAGTGTGGACCAGCTCTTATGTGTGTTTCCTTCTCTCTTTAGGGAAATGCACTCATATATCCATCATGAAAGGGCTTTGCAGCTTCAGAAACAATTAGACACACGAGCCATGCAAGAAAGGAAAAGAGAGGAGATACTATACCAAAGGGCAGGGTATGCTCAACCCATGCAGGCCTGGTAAGCCTGGCTCCCCTTTATCGCCTTTAATATTACGATCTCCCTGTTTAAAAATGAACTGCTTGTTGAGATTGATGAAAGACACAGAAAAGTTACTTAAACAGGCATAATTTCATCAGCAACAGAAAGAAAATGGATTCAAATGACTGTCAATCTAATTTTGATGACAAGAATAGCAAGTTCATCTAGACACCATCAACTCTGTCATCAGACAAACGTCTTATAACTTTATAACAGCAAATTTAAAACCATGGAAGTAAAATAATTTGACACACAAAGAAAGCTGATTCACAGAAGCCAAAATGAGTTACAAATGCTGGTATAGCTTATGCCAGTTTCCTGAACAAAGTAAGATATGCCGACAAAAGCACTTCTTTGCTGGTATAGCTGTGTCTACACCAGAGCTTTTGCCAGCACAGCTCTGTTGGTCAGAGGTAGGGAGAAGGAAGAAAAAAAAATCACATCTCTGACTGACAAGCTATGTTGGCAAAAGTTTTAAGTGTAGACCAGGCCTAACAAAGAATCATCTACTGTACCTTGTTTAAAGCATGTACCTCACAGTAGATCACTATGGCTGGAATAAGTTATAACCACTGATTTTAACAATGTTACTTTAATAAATAATTCTCAAAGCATTTTACCAAGATGGATAAGCACCAACACACCCATTCTACAGGTATAAGGAAAACAGTAGTTTAGAAAAGGAGGACTACCTTGACCTGGAGAGCTTTGTGTAGCTGAGAGCTTTCTCTTTCACCAGCAGAAGTTGGTCTAAGAAAAGCTATTAACTCACTCACCTGTCTACCTTGACATAAAACAGAATCTAACTGTGCTATCTACAGGGCCGGCTCTGGCTTTTTTGCTGCCCTAGGCAAAAAAGCCACCCGCCACCCCCACTCCCCGTGCGGCAGGGGAGGGCGTCGAGCCCGGCCGCGGGCCCGCAATCCCCGATCGGGCCGAAGCGCCGCCCCCCTCCAGGCGCCGCCCCAAGCACATGCTTGGTGGGCTGGTGCCTGGAGCCGGCCCTGGCTATCTAGGCCAGTGGTGGGCAACCAGCAGCCTGTCAGGGTAATCCGCTGGCGAGCCATGAGACTGTTTGTTTACATTGACCGTCCATAGGCCTGTCCGCCTTCAGCTCCCAGTGGCCGCGCCGCATTCTGCAGCTCCCATTGGCCGGGAAGGGCAAACTGCGGCCACTGGGAGCTGCGGGCATCCATGCCTGCGGACAGTCAATGTAAATGAATTTGACTCAATATCTAATCTTCTTCTCATAATCCTCCAAATCCCCAAGATCTGAACAGAAATGTGCTGGGCTAAAAACACTCACCACTCTTTTAAAAGGGTGAACTATCTACTGCACATCTATCTTTGATTTTTAAATATAATGAGAAGGTCCTTAACACAAGGGCCTTATCTTTATTACTGCAGCCAATTCTTATCTGGCAAGTAAAGGATCATTACATTGAGCTGATATGTCTTGAGCACTGATACCTTAGCAGTGCAGATTAAAAGAAACACTGAAAAAAAAAAAGTCAGAAAACAATAGCTATCTGCTCTGATCTAGTGCAAAATAACTGAGCTGTCAAACAGAGCCCTCCAACTGACAGCAGAGTGCCATGGGTACTCTTGGTGCCATGGAATGTAAGGTAAAGCTTTCCCCTTGTGCAAAATAATCACATACCACTGGACAAGGCTGATCCAACCCAGGCGGTCCTGGTTCTCCTTTTTGCCCCTTGGCGCCTTTTCTGCCAGGTATTCCTCTTTCTCCCTGTTGACGCCATAAAAAGATTAAACCACACTTGACATAGAAGGATGACAGTTCAATTTTAACGTGAGCAAGACTTCCAGTGTTACCATTTTCACGGAATGATTCACAATGGTGTAGATACACCGCGGGAGTTACAGTGATGCAAACCCATAATTAGAACCCGTCGGAAATTTTCCAATGGGATGGGTTTCTGTTGGAAAATGCCGATTCATCAAAATCTAAATGCTGGAATGTTGATTTTGATGAATTTCCATTTGAAATGAGGCAAATTTCTGGTTTTCTGCCAGCTCACTTGCCTTCCCGGCAACCTGCCTGGCGGATTGTCATGGAGCCAGGGCTCCCAGAACTTCCAGGCTCCCCAGCTCCCATGCTGGTTGGTTCCCTGGGCTGCCCAAGTCCCAGGCAGCCCAGGGAGCCATCTGGCTTGGGAGCACTGGTTCCTAAGTTCCAAGGCTCCTGGTTCAGCTGGGGCTCCCCAGGGCTTCCATGCTCCTATCTCCCCATCAGCCCACCTACACTGGCTCCAGAGCTCCACGGGTCCTGGCTCAGCTGGGGCTCCCAGTTCCCTGCCAGACAGAATTTAGTTTTGAAATTATTGAAACAAATTATTTTGATTTTTCAAAACAATTCTTTCCGCCTGGATTTCTGTGTCATGGAAAATTCAAAATTTGGGGGTTTTGCTCCAAATCAGAACAAAACCAAAATTTTAAAAACTTGAAATCCTCCATGAAATGGAATTACCATTCTTCACCCAGCTCTACCTCAATGTAGGTACACTGCTTTGACATAAAGAGGGACTCACACCAGTGTAGGCCTTGCTTAACATTGATGCAGTGCACATTTCTCTATTGTGGACATGGGCCCTGTAGTACTAACATGTTAGAAATGTTTAGTCAATTCCCATTCACCTTAGTCAGTGAAACCTGCAAGATAATATTTATACTTTTAACAACTGGCTTTACCTAGGTTACAAGTACACCTCTACCTCGATATAACACTGTCCTAAGGAGCCAAAAAAAATCTTACTGCGTTATAGGTGAAACCGCGTTATATCGAACTTGCTTTGATCTGCCGGAGTGCGCAGCCCCGCGCCCCCGGAGCACTGCTTTACCGCGTTATATCCAAATTCGTGTTATATCGGGGTAGAGGTGTACCTTGGATCTGTACATTAGAAAGAGCATTAAAGCATCTATGGACAGAACCTGAGACACTGACTCAATTTTCACTGGGTCTTTGCTTGTGCAAGATACCACTGAAGTCAGAACTTTAGGATCTGATCCCTAATTGACGTTTTTCACCACTGATGAGGTTTCATTTTTTTTTTTTAAACACTTCTGGCAGTTTGGTCAGTAAAATAAAAATTGATTAGACTACGTCCTCTTCATTCTTTGGTTCTCATGCTCTAGGGCACAGGGCTGCAATGTTTGTGTCGCAGCGACTGCAGGAGAAATTATTATTGCGGTGAAAACGTTTCTATTAAATATTTTATATACAATGTACAGGTTTTTTGTGTGTATGTACATATAGATGCACACAAAAAATTTCATGGATAAACTTTGGGCAAACTTCTTCTCCTATTTACATTGTTTTAACCTTGTTGGCTTAAAAGGGTTGCCATGACTGTGTGGACAGAATCTGGCCCTTTGTGACCAGGAAAGACACAAAATATACTGACCTTCTCTCCCCTTTCACTTTTATCTCCTTTCTCACCTCGGAGACCTGGGAAACCCTATCAAGAGAATTTTAAATATGAGAAAGGTATTTGTAAGTTTAGTTCCAAACAACTCCATCGAATGCATGCTAGCTCACAAGGTCAATTAGAAAGAAACCACATATTTTGCACACATCAGTGGCTGATTTCTTTGGGGGAAAGCTAATGGTTAATATACCTTCATGGTACCATATCCCCTGGACAAGGATTTTGATTTTGTTAGTCTGATACATTCTTAATGAAGTTGAAATTCCTCATCCAGCCACTAGGTAGCATTCAATCAAGCTGTGGCACAGTTACATCTGTGGGGCATGAAGTGGAGTGGTCTAATGGCTGTACTGCAATAAGTGTGTTACAGTAAGTCCACTTCTCATCCACCAGATCACTCCTCTGGGCACAGCAGACTTAATTGAAAATGAGAGATAAAGTGTTTGCTATATTTCCTATATGGAAAATAAGTATTTGTAAAATTAAAACACCACCGATTTTAATGTTTGATGTTCGCAGATGCCACAATTAAAATACCGTATGAAATACTTACATCTAATCCTGGTTCCCCTGGCTTGCCCTGGGGTTATAAAAAAATAAAGAAGAAGAAAAGATGCCATGTTAAGTGTTTCTTATGTTATATGTAAACTTGGAACTATTTGGCAAAATAACTAAGTGAACTCTGTGTCTTGTAGTTTTGTTGGGACTCAATCTAAATGTATATAACTAATGTTTAGGCAAACAACGGCTGGAGAGAGTTAAAGGGAAAGTATTTTTTGCAGCTCTCATATGCAAATGATTTTGTATTGCTGTTGACAATAATTCTCCTTAAGGCAGGTGTGTGGTACCTGGGAACATGGGAAATGTGGACAAGCTAAACTGTATCATTTAGAATCTTCTGTATGAGAAAAGTAGGTCAGAATTGTCCCTGGTGTAACTCTATTGACTTCCAATTGATAGGAAGTGATAGAGAGAGAGAACAGCAGCTAGATAGATCCAGGTAATAAGGGACGGGATCACAGAATGCAGTAGTACATGCATATTAGATTTCTGGAAAGCAAATTTGGGGGAATTAAGAAATCTAGTGAGAAAGGTATAATGGGAGAAAGCATTAATATCTATTCACATGGAAGGTGACTGGAGAATCTTAAAGACACTGTAATTACAGCACAGCTGACTACAGACTACTTTGAAAAAGAAGAAATCCAGTAAACTAACCTCTTTGGATTTATACCAGGGATGAATTTGGTTCAGTAAGTCTATGATTGTCTTTATTCTTTTTAAATATATTAATGCCCTGGAGAACATGGCAATCTCAGAAGACTCAGGCCTTGGCTACACTTACCCGCTAGTTCGGCGGCTGGCAATCGAACTTCTGGGTTCGACTTATCGCGGCCAGACTAGACGCGA